TCACGATACAACAGAAATAGTAAAAAATGATCCAGCGCTATTGCAATACTACTACTTGCACTAGGATGAACACCTAGATTTGCCAGTCAACGCATGATTTAACGACAAGCACGATTCAGCGTTCCGACTTATGTTAAACAGACGCGGTCGCCCGGCCCGGATAATGGCCCCGCATTCGTGAAAGTGCTCCGGCACGGCGGCTGGCAAAAGGGTCGTCGATGCCTCTTCAAGGTGGTGGGTACAAAATGAATTACCGGCGCCGTTGAGTCGTGAAAGCGAGAGAACGAGAGAAGACGCAGACGGAGGGTGATGCGGATAAGTAGATAACGCGATTAATGCGCGAACACAACGGATCTATCCTACTTTACGAGAAGGCATCAGGATCGTCCTTAATGCATCAGCTGCCGCGAGTAGATCATCGGTGGAAAGATCCAGGAAAAACTTGCGTTATGTGAAACATTTCTCTCGTAACCTCTCTTAATTGGTAGACTCGGAAACTTAATCCTCTAATAATAGAGTGCCGGGGTATCGGGTGTGACTTTACAACTTCGTTTAGTTTACAGAATGAACAAAGTAATACTTGGCGTGTTTGTTACTCGCGAGTAGTACTCGAAGTATTTGTTTTATTATTTTTGAAATTGAGACACATACGAGTAAGTCAAAGAGGTTGTTTCTATGATTTGTTCTTTTACTGTGAATTTTTCTTTCACTAGCTCAGTTCAGATGCCGAACTGTGCAATAATGCTTTTCTGACGTCTTATAATACTTAATTATTTCTTTCATTTCTATATAAATAAAAAGAGAGGATAAAGTGTTACGTTACTATTTACCTCTTTGCCCACTTTGCACATTAATTAGATGAAAAATGAACGAAACGGAGCATAGCTCCGGCATCAAGCCGAATCCCACTTTCCTAGATATTATACATTTCTGAAAATTCATCTTATCGTTAGAAAATTAACGTGGTCCAATGTATCTTGTCGAGGATTGCGCAAGAGAATTTATTTTCGCTGTTACGTGTAATTTAACGCGCTGCGGGAAAACACGGTTCCGTCTTAATGGTATATTATACATACATGGTGTTAAAGAGTGAACGCCGTAAATAATCAGCTGCGTTTGCAAGCCGTCGAATTACATTTGCATCTGTAAGAGTCGCGATTCGCGCGACGCGAGAAGGAGGATTTATGCGATCTTTCGTTAGCGATGATATAGTGATGCTATATCGTGTTGCGCGGAAAGTACGAAATTAGCCGGAAATGAGTATAAAAAAGTAAAGCCTGTAAGCGAAGGCAAATCAAAGCGACGATCAAATAAGAGCCGAAGTGTAGAACGGTCTTTAACCCGCGAGTGTTCGTGTCGAGAAGTATGTTCGTTTTTAATGAAAACGGTAGCTACGTAATAAATATCTGTAATATGTCAAAATGCATTTGAAAGATTCGATTTCGTTGAAATCATGCCGAGCTCGAAAACTTTTAGAGTGAATCTCGCTGTGAGAAGTGAAATCTTACTCCGAGAGATTGAGAATTGAGAGCCACTCTTTTTCAAGATTCTATTCCAAAGAATTTAGAGAGAAAAGGGACAAGAATTTGATAATCGCGATAGAACAAACAAAAATTCGAGATATCATCTTAAGGCGAGATATTAAATCTTAACTAATTATAATAGGGAGGGATAAATTAAAACAAGTAGAACTCACCGCTAGCTTGTTATTGAAAGATAAATTTTAAGCTTGAAACCTATAATTTTACTTTTCCCTCAGATTATTCGTAATGCTCGAAAGTGAGGTAAAAATTGTTTTAATCAAGCGGTCGGTAATGAATTTCTAGCGAGGTAATTCGCACTCAAGGAAGAAACCTTCAGTTCGCTTTGAGCGTAAGGAACGGAACGGCAGAGATAAGCCGCAAGGAGAAATTAGCACGATTATGTAAAGGCTGCTCTTTCTAAACTCGCGATAGTGCAGCGCGATGCAACGCGGCGCGATAACGAGTTGGATCGCGGCGAACCGCGGTCGCGATGGTATCGTCGCGCCGTCTCGCAATCAAGCTCGATTAATTGCAACGACATGATAACCGCGAACACAATAAGCTCGCACTCCGCGGGAGGTGAATTCTCGACACGTTGCAGGTGGACGATGCCATCGGCATTCACGCACGTTGCGCTTTATTGCCGGCGATAAGCGCATGCGTTGATTACTATTTCTTTGAAATTAAGAGAGGAGGAATAAGTAAGAAATGAAACTTTTGCTACTCAGTATCTTCTATCGAACGCGTGTACAGATTCAATTCTTGTTCGTATTCATCTTAAGATTCTTGCTTCTCTAATTTACAGTAAGTCAAGTAAGAGCGTGGTCGAGTTCATGTTATTAGTCTTGAGATAGGTTCGAATAGTTTTGTACGATATATCTAAACCTTTCTGCTTCAATTTTGCTTGTCCTTGACGCAGTGTTAAGCCAGGATTCCAGGCGAAAACAGATTCACTATTTTTTTATCGTCTTTTTTCGTCCACTTTGCATATCGAGCCACGTTCCGGTAAATCATCGACATTTTTTGCCACATTATATCGCTGCACTCACTTCTGTACGAATGATTTCGACTTTTTCATATATTTAGCAGCCGCTAATTGTGACGTTTTTGGACTCTTCGGGTGAGTGCAGAGAAACACAACGTGAGGAACACGTTTCATAGCGTGATGCGTATTTGGTACTCATGGCGCTTAATGTGATTCTCTTAAGAAAGTTCAATGACAACTGAATCTTCCTTGATAGTGCATCAAGGATAAAGGTGTCCTCTATGGATTCATGATAGATTTAGGGCGATATCTTTTATTAGCTTTGAGTAAGGCCGACCACGCTCTTACTTGACTTACTGTACCTCAAATGTTTATCGCACTTTTACTTACAAAAGAACATATTATATGTACGTTTATGGGTATGTGTAAATATATGTAAGAGTTTACAATGTATTGAGTCAGTCTGTGGGTTCGCTCAGTCCAAACGACTGTGCGGATCAGTCACCATTGTGCGATCAATCGGCAGTCGCGATATTAATCGCTTCGGACTTTAATTTAATGCGGCGAGATTGTCGATGTAATGCATCCACTTGAACAATAAATGAAAAAATAAAAGTGAGATTCGAAGATTGACATCGTGATAACTGTAAAATCTATATGTTACGATGTATTTATGAAAAATATTATTACAAAAACTATTCTTCGTCTTCGATTTATTTATAATAGGTAAACAATATTAAGCCGAGAAGCGTTTAAATATAAATAAACGAGAATAAAATCATATATATACACTCACACGCAAAAACAAAACAGCCCATTAAATTTTTGCACAAATTTTTAATATTTTCAAATAGCAATAACTCTGTGAAAAATCATCGTAGCGAGATGTTTAAAAAAGCTTGAAA